CTCCCTGGTAAGCCTTTGGGATTGGAAGGCACCGGGAGAGCCTGTGGGCCCCGGTGGCACCATGCCGGGAAGTTTCCTCACTGCCACCAGTCCTGGCACCTCCAAGTTGCAGCCGAGCTGGGAGCCGGTGCACATGTCCAAGCCACATCCGTTGGGAAGGACCCCAGCTCCAGGCTGGATGTGGCACCTGGGAAGCAGCCCAGGACCGTCCCCAAGTGTCCGGGAATGGGCCCCCAAAATCCTGCCCGGAGCAGAAGGCCCTGCAGCACGGTGATGGGCTCCCTGCAAAGCGAGCGGGAAGGGACGGAGGTGCCGGGATGGAGCCATTCCCAGTGCCCATGGAAATCACAGCCACAGGCCCAGCCTGCAAATCCAGCAGCACGCACGGGAGCGAGCCAAGCTGCAGCCAAGGATGCCGCTCATGGATGCAGGGAAGGACCAAGCCCTGCAACCCTGGATCAGCACAATCGGAGCTTCGCGTCCGCCGCGCGCATTCCCTGGGCTGCAAACGTCCTGGCTGCACCGCAGCTCTTCCCGTACCGGGTCCATGAGGGGCCCGCCTGCATCCGCCAGGGAATACGATATTTGTTATTTTTACAGCTTCTGAAGGCTAATGGATGTTTATTTCCAGTGTTCTCCTTCTGCAGCCAATTCTTCCCAAGCTTGGGAAGAATTCAGCTTTTTGCATAGCTGGAAGTCTTCAATCTGTAGACGCAAGTTGGTGCAGGGCAAAGAGGAGAACGAGTGCAGGCTGCAGCAGCAATCCCCGTGCATCACATATGGGGTGCATTGCATATGCGGGTGCATCGTGCACGAGGTGCATCACATCCAGGGTGCACCTTGGAACCTTGCAGACGGATTTGTCCAACCAAATCCGTCTGCAGCTGCAAGCAGGTCCAGACTAGTGCAATCCCCCAGCCTCTGCATGGGCCAATGCGCAGCTTGGAGCAGAGAGCAGCTCCAGGCAAGGCCACCCCGTGCTTTGGGACATTCAGGCCTCGGTGCCTGCACCAGGAGCTCTCTGCATTAAAGCAGCCCTGCGCTATTGCTGCTAAGCAAAGCTGTGCTGCTCGTCACGGCGGCTTCGTTACCGCTTTTTCCATCCACATATTTGGAGGGCGCTGCGATTGCACCCCCAACGTAATGAAAAAGTGTTGAGAAAAGTGCTGAAAGTCACCGACCGGCCCGGGAGACCCCACGAAGCGACGGGCTCCTCGAGCCCAATGCATATCCCAGAGTTTTTCCCCTGGAGCTCAACCCGCCAAATTCTTTCCTCCTAGATTTTCCACTACCAGGGCTGCACTCAGAGCCCTGTCTGGCTCCCTCTGCTAAAGAAGAGAAAATAGTCACAGCTACGTATCTACTACAGAATATCACATCCAACTTGTGTGCACACATGAATATGCCAATACATACACAAATATATATGTGTGTGTGTGCACTGCTTTGAAATCCTTCTAAAACCACCTATGCTGGCCAAAAGCAGCATTAAAGGGCTCAGACGGGAGTGCGAGTGCCAAGGGCTCAGATTCCACATTTGGTGCTTGGCGGACGAGTTTTTCCCTGTTTTTATAGCAATCGCTCTTATACGAGCTGCGTTTCTGAGATAACCATTTAGCCTCACGGAGCTCCTTTGCTCCTCAAGGACATTTCGGGGAGGGTTTTCAAGGCCTTTCCTGGCTCTGCCTTAGCAACAAGCTGTGGTTTCATCTCACCCTTCCCGTTTCTCCCGGGCTGCCGCTCTCCTCCTGCGTCCTTGGGTTTAAACTGCAGACGTTTTGCTGCTTCGGTCATTTATCCTTTAACCAAAGTGAGTCATGGTGGCTTTTCTAAAAAATACGTACATATATTTAATAGACATTTTATACCATATAATTGCCTATGCGAATGCATGTGGTACTTATGTGCGCGCCTACGCTGGTTTTGCATCAAGAACCTCCCCTTTTTTTCATGCGAAGGAAGAGGCAGAGGAGGAAGCTGCAGTGAAGTCTGGGTTGATGTTGGCAGGGAAGATGCGAGAAGGGCCAAGAGGAGCCAGCCGTGGCCTCCAAACTCAGCATCCTGCCCAAAAGGAGCAAAATCCTCCCTCTGCGGCAATAGAAGTGGAGAGGTCCCCGCAGAGCATCCCTAGCCGAGTGGTCATTGCAGCAACGCGCGTGTCCCTTGTGTTGCTCCCTTCCAAGGGGAGATTTTTCACACTTATAGGACAAAGTGAAATATCTTTTAAGAAAACAACATGTTCTCCAAAAGCAAAGGTGGGCGGGAACATGAAGGCAGAGACACTTCGTTCCTGCTCCTTATCTGCTTCGGGGAACTGCAAGCTTTAAGCAGCCCTGCCATCAGCTGCCTTTGCAGAAGCTGAGTCTCTTGCAGGTCCTAGGTCAAATACCATCACATTTCTGGGGTTTTGGACCAATTCCTGGTACGAGCTATTTCGTATTTCACAGAGCAGCGCAAAATAAAACCCGAGCGCGTGATGCGGCGTCAGCCCGGGGAGGATGTCGGTGCAGCAGCTCCTGCTGTGCCTCCCCTGGGCACGCATTGGAGATCACTTTGCATTTGGGTTCCTGCACCAAAACTGACCCAGCCGGAGCAGCTAAGTTGGTGGACGCAGCCTGGCAGTGCCTGCCCAAGGTCGGTGTCCTCGTTTGGTCACCAAGCAATGAGTCTGGGGCTGTCACAGCAAGCGGGTTGGGGACATCACTGCCAGCTGCGCTTGCTCCATCCCCACCATGGGGCATTGGTGTCCCCAGTGTCCCAAAAGATTCCTGGGGAAACCTTGCCCACATTTGCAGTGCTGTCCATGCCCCCGGTGAAGACACCCCAGCACCCATGGGTGGCCACAGTGCCTATAATCCTGATCCAGGGTTTCGCTCGCTCCCGGCACAGCACTGACCTACGGTGAATCAGAAGGAGGATCTGCTGACTGTGCCCTTCCTCTGGAGCAAACAGCCCCAAACATCCCCGAAACCCCTAATTGCAGCGGAGCGGGGAGCGTGGTTATTCCTCCCGCCGCGCAGTCCTGAGCGCCTGAGTCACAGGGCAGCAGTTTGGGCCCGATTAGCAGGTTCTCCCCTGAGGTCCCTGTCCCCTGAGCCACGAGGGTTTCAGCATTTCACTTATCGACAGGCAGCGAGCAAAGAGCTGGCAGTGCCTGCTCCCTGCTTGCATGGGCTTTCCATGAGCTCTTTATCCCAAGGACTGGAAGAGCTGGTCACCAGCATATGGATGCCAGGGCTTGGAGCATCCAAGGGGGATCTGGAGGGCTGTCCCCTGGCTGTTCCCTGCCATTAGTGCACAGTGAGGCCAAAAGCAAGCAAAAGAGACCCAAAATCCCTGCTCATCACCTGCCCTGAAGCCAAGGAGGATGCCCATGATCCTGGGAGCACCAAGCTCAGCATGGCCGTGCAGCCAGAGACAGGCAGGGAAAGGCTGTGCCTTCCCATGAAACACGGGACCCCCCAGGAGCGCGGAGCATCATCCCAAACCACGTCCTCTGCTCGCGGGCGCAGCGTTACCATCACCGCTTTTAACGCCCCCCTGCCCTCACCGCGACCAGCGGCTCCTCCGTAATCAGCTCAGTACATGGTACAAGTCGGAAAAACCTCGTAACGCTCGTGGGTTTGCAGCACGTGGGCACGGAGCCAGCAGCGACGCTCGCCGTGCGCCGCGGCACCAGGAACCAGGCTCCGATACGGGTTAAAGAGAAGGGAAACAGGGACTCAGGATGCTCGTGGCAGCCGGGACGAGAGCTGGGGAACCCGAGGCTAAATCCAAGCCTTGTTTTGAATTTCCAAAACATCTATCTGTATCAGTAAGCGTCTGCTTGCTGTTCTAGCCTGGCTGGGGAGCCCAGGCCAGGCTGCTCTGTGTTTGGGGGAATTTCGCGTGCTTTGGGGCTGCCCTCGATGCTCCAGGTTCTGCAAGGAGCACGTTAATGTCTCCTCTGACAAGTGCCAAGTGGCCGCTTAGCTCCTTTCCCAGCTGTGCACAGGCCCTGACGAGGAGCGGGACGTCTGCCGTGAAACCCAAAACCCCAGCGAAACCCAGCCAGGCTTGGCCTTGCATTGCTGAAACACAGGCAGATTTGATCGCTTCTGCAGACCACCGCTCCCGGTGGAAACTGCATAAAATGCAATGGCCTTGACCCAAAAATCCAATGGATTTCCACTGAGTTTTGGAGCCGGCGCAACCCTGGGGAGCTGTGAACCTGCCGGCGTGAAACCGAAGCTGCCGGCACCTGCGCGGGTCCGGCTGCACGTGCGGATGGGGATTTCCAAAAAGCAGGGGATTTTTCCCACCTGGTGAAACCCGTTTTCCATAGGCACACAGGGAGAGCAGGAGGAGCCCCCGGCATCTCACCCGGGTTGCCGCAGGTCCCGCTCGGAGCTGGGCACGGAGGTCACTTACCACTTCTTGCCCCCGATGTCGTGCTGCTGCACCGTGTAGCCGAAATAGGCGTCCTTGGAGCCCGCGATGATTTTGGGCCTCTTGGTGTCAATATTGAAGGCATCACTGAACCCTGCAGAGAGGAGGAAAATGGGGACACATCAGGCAGGGCAGCAAGGGGGTGACACTGAAAGGGACTCGTCATCCTCCTGCAGCCCATGAGTGACCACAAAGCCAACACCGTGGCAAACAGTACACTGGTGTTTCCTGGAAAAATAAATACTTTTTTCCCTCTAGGCTGGAGGGAACAGGAGCCTGGGGCTGCAAAGTCACCGCTGATTTTGCCTCGCTGGGCTGCAAAATTGCAGATATTTTGCCCAGAGGAGTCCAACACCCGCTGCAAACCCCTCTGAGAGCAGCTTTCTTGCTGCACCGCTGCTCATGGTCCACGTTTTCCTTATCCGAGCATCTCCGGCCACATGCTCCCTCTGGGAATGGAGCTGCACCGAGGCCGCTCTCCCAGCCTCCGGAATGGAAAAGCCACAGGGGCTCAGAGACACCCCACAGGGCTGGGATGCCCCAAAATACCCCGATGCACGTCCGTATGGGAAGCCCATCCGTATGGGAAGCACTGCATCCAAACCCTCCACGTGCTCCCTGCAGCATCACTTCCTTTTTACGATATCGTTTTCTCCTTAAATTTAGCCATGCACAGCCCAAGTGCCAGGGAAGGTGCAGGAGACTCCACCAAGCAGAGGGAACAGGAGGCAGTAGCCGGGATATCCCGGCTTCCCGCTTGCCCGCGGCTGTGGGATATCTCGCTCCCGTATAAATAAAAGATCCTGGCAGCGTTATGGAAGGAGGTTGGAAGAGGAAAAGGACACGTCAAAGCACCGCGTTTGGTATTTATAGGGGTATAAAACTGAGTTGTCATCAGGAGAAGCCGGGAATGCCGCTTCCCAGGCAAAAAGTTCAGGACGGGGATTGTTTTTATAGTGCTGGAAAGAGATGGGAGCTTTTGCAGAGCACAAACCCGCAACGTGGCCATCCTAAAGCAGGAGCGCAGGGCAAGCGAGGCGAGGACCTGTGGGAGCCTGTGGAAAGAAATTCTGGAAGCAGGAAAAAGGAGGGAAAAAAAGAGAGATGCATGGGATCAGATCCAGACTATTTTGTGGTAGGCTGACCTTATGTAACATATTAAAAACTGAGTTCATGAGAACTGTCTTTGATTTTTTAATGTATTCTGTAAAAAATAACACGTCATGTATTTCTTTTTGACACATGGCTTCAGTGTTTCCCACAACTCCTAGCTGAGACACAAACCTGCAAGCTTCATCTCCCGGAAAAATCACTCCTGGTACTGACAGCCCGGCTGCAAGGGAATGCCCAAGGGAACGGCATTGCTTTGGAAGTGCAGCGTCCAGGGGAAAAGAGGGATTTGGGACTCAAATTGCGCTCAGTGGCACATCCCAGGCTTTGTATCCAAGAAGTCTTTTCCTGGGAAAGCTCCCCCGGGCGCTCGCTCCAGCTCCCGGCTCCCACTCCACCTCGGAGCGCCTGGAAAAACGGAGCAAGCTGGAAGCAAGCTTGAAACAATGGATGGCAAAATCCAGGGAATGCGCGTACGAGAGGGAGGCATTTGGGAAAGCAGGCAGATGTGGGTGCATTTGAGGCAGAGGGGAAAAATCTGGGAGTATTTAAAAAACATTAAATTAATCAGGGCCCTTTGAAAGGCTGGCAGGGAGATTTAGCAATGCAAAGAGCCTGGTCCCGTTTTCTTGTCGGGAGTGACATCACTGTCACAAATAAGTGACCCAAAGCCACATGCTTTGCTCCCAAGGCTGCCAAAGCAGGAAGCCTCAAATACCTCCATTCCGAACTGGAGCTTTTGCCCGGTCCAAACTTTTGATTCTTGTCAGGTCAAATATTGAAAGGGAAAAATAATAATAAAAAAGGACACATTTGGGAAACAATACTGGGAATAAAAGCTACCTTTCCTGCCAAAGGAATAAAAATAACTATTTTCTGCAAGAGCCTGGGTGTTGGGACCTGCCGGAGTGGGGTGTGCTGGGGTCTGGAGCTTGCAGCCCTCAGCCTTTGCAGGGCTGCAGGGATGCTGCAAATGTGTCTGTCCCCCCTGCATCCCTTGGGATGCTTTGGAAAACCAGCGCCCGGGTTATTGCATCGCTGTGTGCGATAACTATTCTGCAAAACCGAGCTGCTTTGCTGGCCAGGGGCACTTCCCTGGCTTGGGACAGAATTGCTCGAGAGAGGAAGAGCAAATGCAGGGCCAGGGCTGGCGCTGAGACCTCCAGGCACAGGCTGACAACCCACGGGCTCCGGTGGCATCGGATGCTCCTCGGAAGCCCATCTGCGATGCACATTTTTGCTCTTTTGCAGGGCTGAAATATTTGGCGTAACTCGAAAGCCTTTGAGCTCTGTGGAGGGTACTGGGGCAGAGCCGGCTGGGAGGGAGCAGATCAGGGCACACGAGCTGCTGCTTCCCTCCTGCTCCGGCATTCCCGGCCCCGGCATGCGGGAAGTGCTGGAAGCACCAAGCCCCTCTCCAGGTTGGGGCACTTGGCTCAGGGCATTGGGAAACGCGCTGCTTTCTGCTCCCTGACACAGCCACGCATTGGAAACCCGGGAATGCCAGAGGTGGATATGGAATCAGTCATCGCCAGCCCCTGTCCCGCAGCATTCCTGGCTACCGCAAAATGTGCAACCGGCAGCCGCAGAGCCTCGGCTCCAGGAGCTCCTTGTGCTTCCGAAATCCCGGATTTCGGTCCCCTAGGGCAGGGATAAGCCACTTTCCTGCTTATAGGCTGTGGGGGCCACATTTAACGACATTAAGGAACACGATGAAATAACGGCCGTGGCAACCAGCGCCCGCAGCCCCCGCTGCTGCC